GTGGTGGGAATTTTACAGGGACTATAAACAAGATAAAAATGCATACATTGTACAAAAATGAAAAATTATGGAAAAATATATAAAATAAAAAATAAAAATAAATAAATCTTTTTTAAAAAAAGATATACAAAGAACTCACACGACTCAACAAAAACAAACTAAACAACCCAGTCAAGAAATGGGCAGAAGAATTTAAAGGACATTTCTCCAAAAAGGAAATGCAAATGGCCAACAGGCATATGAAAAAATGTTCAATATCATTTGTAATTAGGAAGATGCAAATCGAAATCACAACGAGATACTACCTTACACTAGTAAGAATGGCACATATCAAAAAAACTAGCAACAACAAAGGTTAGCGAGGATGTGGTGAAAAAGGAACTCACCTACATTGCTAGTGGGAGTGCAAACTGGTCCAACCACTATAGAACACTGTTTGGAGGTTCCTCAGTCTACTAAAAATTGAGCTACCATAGGACCCAGAAATTCCACTCCTAGGGATCTACCCAAAGGACACAAAAACATTGATCTGAAAGAACACCTGTAGCCCTGTTTATTGCAGCACTATTAACAATAGGTAAAACCTGGAAACAACCCAAATGTCCAAAAATAGATCAAGAAGATGTGGTATATGAGCCTCCCCGGTGGCGCAGCGATTGAGTGCTGGGTTGCGAAGCTGCCTGCAGCCTCTGCACCGCCGGTTCAATCCCCAGCTGCTCCCCAGCAACCGGAGGAGGATCCCAAATAAATAAATAAATAAATAAAATCTTAAAAAAAAAAGATGTGGTATATATACACAATGGAATAATACTCAGCAATCGAAATAAACTCATGCCATTTGAAGTAACGTGGATGGAGCTAGAGGGAATTATGCTCAGTCAATAAGTCAGAAGGAAAAAGAAAAATATCAGATGGTTTCACTTATAGGAGGAATATAGGGAGCACAATCCAGTTTTTATTGCAGTAAGATGCATTAATCCAAGGGGGAATAATTATCATGATTAATCAATTGACCAGGCAGCATTTAACATAACTAAAACCATGAATTGGGTGAAACAATAGTATATTGAGAAGGACCCCTATAAACTATAGGTCTAAGTTTCTCAACATCAGCACTAATGACATTTTGGTTCAAATAACTCAGTCTTGGGTGGAAATGAAGGGGCTGTGCTGTGTGCTATAGGTTGTTTGGGAGTATCGTTGGCCTCTACCCATGAAAAATACTTCTTCTGCTAGTTCGGAGAATCAAAAATATATCTAGGCACAGCAAAATGTTTCAGGGCAGGAGATGGCAAAATCACACACCCAGCTGAGAGCCACTGCCAAAGTTGGAGTATGAATTTATGCATGTCTGGAAATATTAGGAGTTTTACAAATATTTAGACATTTTCCTCCAGCAACCTTATTTCAAAGAAATAATTAGTAGTAAAAGGATACACATATTAATAATAAAAAGACAAACAACCTCATTTAATAACAGGCAATTTCAGTATATATTTCTGCAAAGAGGGTATAGGACTTGCCAATAAGCACGTGAAAAGATTCTCAACATCATTAAACACCAGAAAATAAAAACCAAACGCACAAAGAGATACATGTCCTATCAAAAGACAGATAATGACAAGTATTAGTGAGGATGTGACAAAATCAGAACCCTCATGCGCTGTTGGTTTAAAAATGATACACCACTGGAAAAGTCTAACAGTTCCTCAAAAGGTATTAGATGTTAACCAGACTTATCGTGGGGCTCTTTTCACAATACATACAAATATCAAGTCATGATGTTTTACACCTGAACTAATGACATATATATCAATTATATCTCATTTTTTTAACATTTAACATGTTTTTTTAACATCTAAAAATCATTTGAGGAATTTCTGCCCCAAAATTGGATTCTGTTCTAAAACTCCTACGGATTAGACAGAATAACCCGACAGATATTCTGCCAGACCATTAGGGAGCAGTAGCGAGTCGAGTCTGCCAGGGAGGAAGGATAGTGGATCAACAACAGTGAGAATCCTCTTTTTGGCAGCAGAAGTAGACGAACACAATTATAATCACGCTGACCCTGGGATGACCGTCTTCAGCTTTCTCTGACAAGAACTGGCGAAAGGAGTCTTTTTGAAGTGGGACATTCTGGTTCCCATCCCACAAAACCAAGAGAAGGATGACACCCCAGGGAACTGCCCCAGCAACAGCTCCCAGCCTTTTTTTCAGAGCAACAGCCCATAATCACTTCATTTTCCTGCTCCAAGTGTTTTCAGAGAGATTCTCCAGCCTTTGGCATCCTGGGAGGTAGCACAGATGGAAAACTGGAAGAACGTAGAGTAAATGCTATCAAAATGACCAGCTGCCGATGCTGTTCCTTGGGGTCCCAGGTCCTCCAAACAAAGAGAAGACTATCAGACGAGAAATAAAAAGCCAACGACTCTTCAGTAGAAACAAAAGTTCAGTGAAATCTGGCAAGCCTCCCTGTTCCCAAATGATTCCCAGACGATGGTAAATTTGGAAAGTAGTCCGTGTTGAAACTGAAACACATGGGCCTGGCTGCAGAAGCCCATTCTTCCCTCTCTCAATGACATGTGGAAGTGAAAAATTCAGAGTTGGAGGGAATCCTGTTCACCCTTGCCATTAAGTCCAGTTAAGAACTTCATCCCAGACAAGTGGGGTAAGGTGCTTTAGCCCATCTGTGCTAGGAGGTTACCCTCTTTCAACTCCCAGCTGCCACTCACTACTCACTGTGAGAGTTACTCAACTTTCTGTGCCCTAGATCCCTTATCTACAAAATGAAAGTGATACTATCAGTTCCCACTTCCTCAATTGCTCAGAGGATTTATATAGTCCCTGACACATTATTAGTGTTTAACAAATGTTAGCTATTATCCAGAACTAGTGGTGATGGGGATAAAGATCTTAAAATACAGAGCATTTCTACTCTTATTTCATCCTCTCCTCTCCTTTTCTTTCTCTCTTAATTAACCCTTCCCCCCAACTACAGGGTTAGAGACAGAGACAGAGACAGAGACAGAGACAGGCAGGTTCAAAATAATTCGAGGGTAGACATTGAGGGCACTATGTCCATTGAAATAAATCAGAGAAAAATAGACAAATCTCACTTGTATGCAGAATCTTAAACAAAAATTAAAACCAAATTCATAGATAGAAGATATTTGTGGTTGTCAAAGGATAGTAGGGATGGGAGTGGATGAAAAGCTAATCCATTATCTAGAAGCCTTAACTATGAGGAAATTCTCTCTTAATTTAAAAACCCTTAAGAAGGCTGACAATCATCCAAAGTCAACCAGGATTAATACACTTGAAAAATGCCTAAATCACACAACTAAAATTGTCTTTAAAATCTGCCTCCAAAGGGCTGAGTCACATTCCTTTTCTCATCTAAATTATGAACATTCTTACCAAAGGCAGATTTACCAGGGTTTGATGTGAACGTTTGTAGAAACAAAATGTCTAGAGTTTTATGAGTTGTTTCCTCACTACCTGAAATGACAAGTAATTCACGATATTTGACACATGCTAAGACAAACACTTAGATTAGTTAGTGTAACTCCAACTTCACAAAAGCAAAGTAAATAATCCAACAAAAAAATGGGCAGAAGAACTTAAAAGACACTTCTCCCCCAAGAGGAAACACAAAAAGACATATGAAAAAATGTTCAACATCGTTCATAATCAGGGAAATGCAAATAAAAAACACAACACAACAAAACAAAAATAAACAGGCAACTATAAATTAGAAACATTCTGCAGGGGAGAGGGAGGGAGAGGAATCAAAAGGAGGACAGGAAGAGCACAAGGGACTATGGTGATGGTGCATGAGTGAACTGTGGTGTAAATTCTATGGGGACTACACCCTGAGAAAAGAAAGTAAACACTGTAAAAAAAAAAAAAAACAAAAAGAACAATGATGTAAAATACAAATAATTAAATAAATTATTTTTAAAAAATATTAGTGTAACTCACTGTATTTTCCAAAGATAGTCGCAACACCTCCAATGACATGTGATACTTCTCTCATTGAGAGGTAAGGTTTGGGTTCCCTTGCATTGAACAGGAGGACTTGAGAGTGATACCATGTGACTTCATACTAGACAGTATGATTTCCTCCTATTGCACTTGGGGTGTACATTCTTGGAACCCTGCTACCATGCTGTGAGGAAGACCAAGCAGCACTTAGAGAGGCCTTGTATAGGAGCCCCCAGCAACAATCCCCATCAACTACACAAACTTTCAGACAATTACAGCTCTAAAGACTGAATAATTTCTAGCCTTTGAGTCTTCCCAGTTGAGTCTCCAAATATCATGAAGCAAAAAATAATATATATATATACCACATCCCCTTTCCACAGCCTCGGCCCACAGCACCTGCAAGCTTAAGAAATTGTCATTTTGTGTCACCAATTTGGGACAATAATAACTGCAACTGCTAGCAAGTATGATTGTTTCACATTTAAGTATATTAGGATTTAATACATGTAAAATACATCCTACCTTGCTGAAATCTTGAATTCCATAATGAAACAGTCTCTTGGCTAAAAGTTTTACCCCTTTTGCCACAGAGAGAAGTGAAGGGAAGTGTAGGTAGAAATCCAGTGTCCCCATTCAGGGTATATTGGTTGTTAATGGCATGACTTTGGGTAAATCACTTACTATGTAAGGTTTATGCTGCATCCCTTCTTCCTCCCCTCCCCAGGTCCTCTCTCTCCCCTTCTGCCTCTCATCCACCCCCAACTTGAGGTCCCAGGAGAGTGACCTTATGAACTGCATCAATGAGCTGTCAGTTGAGTGTGCCCAATGAGGGACACCACGAACTGTGAAAAGCCTCATCTTTACAATTATCAATGACTCCATTAGAGAAATGGTTTTTCAACCTTTTAAAGGAATATATCCTTTCCTTTAAAAAAATGTTGAAGTAGCACTGCATTCTCACATTATGTAAGTTTCAAGTCTGCATCATTATAAATCAACAGCCATACATACTTCACTAGGTTCATGAAGTTTTATATTTTTATTTTTATAAGCACAATCTTACATAAAACCCCAGCTATAAACAATATAGCTAAAGATGACACTGTTTGACTGAAAAAGGGGATACCCAGAAGCTTGCCTGATGTAACTGTTTCCCTCACATCTTCCCCTAGTTTGCTGGGTCTCTGAAGAACCCAGTTAGAGAACCAGGCAGATGCTCTGGGCGACAGTAGTCTTGATAACTTTAGTAACAGCTTTCACTGCTTTCACACACTACTTCACATAGTAAGGTCCCAAAGTACCTTACTAGGTCTTGCTCTCCACAGTCAATGAATCGGAGGCTTTCTTCTCATATATATAATAAGCCTATTCCAGAAATTCTTCCAGTTGTACCCACAGACCCCCTCTTCTTCTCACACACAAAGCCCTAAAACCCCATCACGCAACAGCTTTCCCAAAGATTTTTACACTCGAGTGAAATGGCCAAAAAGTTGGATTCTAGGTGCGGTATCTTCAACTCCGGGGGATGACAGATGCTGGTCTGTTCATTGGTCTTTTTCAAGCAACAAAACTGGAGAAGAAAGCAGAGTGGGTGGCGCGCCCGCCTGCCCCGCCCCGCGGACATTGGTGTTGTTCTTGAGGTATTCGCAGTAGCGTGTCAGAAGGAACTTCTGCATGGCGCTGCTGTAGAACGCCCACGATGGGATCAGTCTGATAAAGTTTGCCTTTAAGAGAAAAAATGTGAGTGTCCAGGAGAGAACAGAGAACTGAAATCTAAAATATCTTGGTTTATGGGTACATCATCTTTAAAAATATTTTTTCTGGCCATTGAAATTAAATGCCCCAATTTTGTAAGTAGTTGCTGAAATTTAAAGGTTTTGAGACATTTTCTCAGCAAGCAAAATTTTCTTGTTTTCTCAGACACCAAAGCAACCACTCTAGGGCCATTCCTGAGGAAATTCTAAATTAAGAGAATGCTGTTCATGGTAACAGCCCACTCCCTTCTTCTCTTTGTGAACATTTTCTCTTCTGGGTGCAAGATCTTCCCATGTCTTCTGGTTCTTCCTACCAGTATTCTATTAGAATGAGATTCCATGAAAGAGTCAGAAAGGTTTTCTTTTCCATCACCTGGCATGATGTCTGAGGTGCTAAGCAGATACATGAATTTATGAATGAGCTAATGAACCAAAGTCAGTCACAGTAAAATATAAATGATGAACACAGAGTGTTGCTTTTAAAAGGAGGGAAACCTCAAGCTGAGACACAAATGCTTAATTACAAGCATTCTGGGCAGTAGACACAAACCTTGGAAGGTTTTGTAGGGGAGAAAAATTTGCCATCCCAAAATTTCTCTTTGGTATAAGGATAATATTTCAAAGATTATATTTTAAAGATTTATTTTTATTTATTTATGCATATAAGAACAGGGGTGTAGGCCAGAGGCACTGGGGGTAAGAGGGTGAGAGGTTTCACCAGAAACAGAGTAGGGAGCAGAACAGGCAGATCTACTGAAATACTCTGCTGTGGGGAGCAGCAAGTGAGACAGGAGAGGTTTGCTGTGCCTTGTGGGTCAGCTTCCTTGCCAGGAATCAAACTTGTGATGCAGCAGCTGGTGATAATTTGATGGTAATAAGCCTTTAACCCCTGCACCACCAGGGAGACCCTCTTTTGCCTATTTTATAGAAAGATTATCAATTGTCTTACTAGGTGTTAAACACATGAATCAAAGTCATGAAACAACAGATTAAGAAAGTTTCTCTGCCTTAACTGCCTAAAACGAATTTAGATCAAGTACATGTAGCAGGAAAGGAACAGAGATAACTACAAAGAATATGAACTAGGTTATGGTTAACAGAGGGGAACTTAGCAAGTCCTATTTGATCAGATTACTTTCTGTGTCCTTTTGTCTCCGCATTTGATGGCAAACATTTGTTCATTCTTTCATGCTTCCCATCTTCTTTTAAATTATTTTCCATCCCTTTGAAGTTCCAGATCCCCACCCCTGCTCCCTAGCGAAGAACAATATATAATCCCTAAACACTTGCTTTTCAGAACCTCATTTCTTTGTGGAGTTTCCATACATATGTAATTAAATTTGTTTTTCTCCTGCTAATCTGTCTTGTGTTAACTTAGTTATTAGACCAGCTTAAGAACCTGAAAGAATAGAAGGAAAATTTTTCCTCTCTTCTACCTTCTTGATCTCAGATCTCACCTGTATCCCTATGTCCCAGAAGTCATCATTTTTTTTGACAGTGTGATCCTGCTCCCATCATTACTCAACCCCACTACTTCCCACAAAACCACAGAATTTCGGCCAGAGGAAAATGTGGGCTTTTCGAGGACTTGCTGAGATATACCAAAGCAAAGGACTAAAAACAGCTTCTCGGAATCAGAGTAAAACTCATGCATCAGCCAACTCCAAATAAATTAAAATTTATTAAAAGGTCCCCTTTGTTTCTACCAGTCTTCAACCTAGAAAGCTGAAAAGAGTGTTAGCTGAAACCAGGAAAGGCTTAGTGTCAGACAAAAGTAAACATAAACTCTAGCTTCACCTTTACCAGCCGGGTAGTCCTCAACCTTCTGATTTAGCACTGAGCTTTGGTTTCCTCAATCATAAAACAGAAGGCAAACAACCTTTCCCTCAAGATGATGATATAAAACACCTATATACCACAGGGGACTGTATCTGAGAGGCTCTATTCCCACCTCCATCCTCACGCTCAGACTCCTTAGAGGTGGAGAGCCTCAGGTTTGTGCCTCACCTCTGAAATAAAAGGATGGTTTGTTCACCAGTTGATTCTACTTGTTTGCCCACAACTTTAGTTCCAATGCTTTTGGAAAGCCCCTATGTCTTGGTCTCCCCTTCTTACAGCTCCTGGGTATAATTTCCAGGGGAGCAGCAAGGCAGTCGAGGGTGAGAACTGCCAACATCAGAGTTATCTAAATTCCAGCAAATTCCAATTTGATGTTAATGGTTTTAATAATTTATAGATTTTTTGTTTTCTCTTTTGCTTCACCAGATATAAGAACTCTTTTTATTACTCTGTCCTTGACATGTTTGCCAGAAAAGTTTAGAATTTGTTACAGAAGAAATCAAGAGAAAAGTGAAAAAAAAATCAACTTTTGATATCTAGAAGACCATAGGCTTGCAAGGCAGGCAATTGCCACAACAAAACCTTTCCTAAATGCTGGTGGATTCCACTGAAAAAGTCAACATCCTGGAGGACTAAGACCACAGATTCTCTTGGAGAGAAGAGGGATGGGGAGAGGATGGAAGATAAGAGGAGGAGATGGGAAGGGAAGGGAGGGGAGGAGAGGAGAAGCCTATGTTCTTTGTTTTCAGCATTAGCATGCAATACTAATTGCATATCAACTCCACCTTTGTCATGTTTGTGTGTCTAAAGGCTGTCCAGAAATGAGAAGAACTCCTCATGCCAAATAACATGGAAACTTACTTCCATAGTTGATGGAGCCTCTGGTATGCTGAAGTAGGCTTGCAGTTGTTCACAAGAGCCACTGTGTACATTCCTCCTAAAGTAACGGGCACACAACACTGGTAGTCTAGGGAATGTATACACTACAGAAGTCAGCAAACTCTTTAAGGTAAGGTGGTTTCCTTTGTTTTTTTTTTAAGATTTATTTATTTTATACAAGAACTGGGGTACAGGCCAGAGTTGTGGGAGGGTGAGAAGATTCACCAGAGACAGAGCAGGGAGCAGAACAGGCAGATAGACAGAAAACACTGCTGAGGGGAGCACCAGGCAACACAGGAGAGGCCTGCCGCACCATGTGGGTATCTCCCTGGCCGGCCAGAGAGAGGCTGCGGAGAGCTTCACAGCGCTGCACTCAACCCACTGTGCCGCTGGGGAGGCCCAGGGTTTTTTTTTTCTTTTTCTGGATAGAAGATCATTGGGCATTTACTAGTACCAGAAGCCATGGAGAATAACAGCCCCCAGCAGAGGAAAGCCCCTATGTCTTGGTCTCCCCTTCTTACAGCTCCTGGGTATAATTTCTAGGGGAGAGGCAAGGCAGTCAGGGGTGAGAACTGCCAACATCAGAGTTATCTATAAGCTGAGTGCAGGTCTCCAGTGGCTCATCCCTTGCCTATCCAGATGCCTTTTCACTATATTTGGCTATATTCCTCCTCACCAGCCTACGCTGTTTCCACTGTCTTTGTCATGAATGAGTATAGGTGACTTTCTAGGGCTCCTAGGTATAATTTCTAGGGGAGAGGTAAGGCAGTCAAGGGTAAGAACTGCCAACATCAGAGTGATCTATGAGCTGAGCACCCAGGTCTCCAGTGGCTCCTTCCTTGCTTCTCCAGATTCCTTTTCACAATATTTGGCTATATTCCTCCTCACCAGCCTACACTATTACCACTGTTTTTGTCATGAAGGCGTATAGGTGGCTGTCCCAATAACGAAGAGGTAGCTGAGGTCACCTACACATCTGTCTTCCTTGCTTTGAGAAGAAGTTATCAATTACCAAAATTTCATAGACAAGGCAGCCACAGGCTTCATCTCCAAATCCGACATAATTCAGTGATTCTTTAACAAATTCATCAGCGGTCTTGATTATCATGCTGGTTTTTAGGTAGTTTGTCATGGAGGTGGAAATAGCATACGGGGTCAACACCTAGAATGGGAAATAAAAACCATAAAGCAGGAGCCACGCATGTAGCCCTGGGAAATTAACACCCATTTACCACCCCCTCATCTTCCAACATTGTCCTTCCTGTAAAAGGTTTCAAGATCCTGAATGATAATGGAAGAGTGAAGGGTATAGAACTCAGGCACAGCTGACTGTGGCTGGCTTTTGGTTTAAACTTGCTACTGATACTTTGGCCATACAATGTTACAGTTCCATGGTAGTCACACAGTCACACCATTTGAACCTGTCTAGTTCAAATGCACACAAGTGAAGGGAGAGGGGGCATGAGTCGTATTTTAGATTGTGGTTGCCAGAGTCTGGAAACAAAGTCAAAATAAAAACAGTGGTAGCATAATGTCTGAAGTATCGAATGTGATATACTTACACTAAAAGAATTAGTCATTATCTGGAATTCAAATTGAATTGAATGTTCTGTATATTATCTGGCAACCCTAGCTCAGAAGTTTATTTCTAACACATATAACCAAAGTTGGAGCAATTTAAAGGACTTTGGATTCCCATTTTTATAATTCATTGAGGAGCCAGGCATGGCACATACCTCATATCTTTCCTGTTGTACAAAACTAACACACCACACACTATGCCCTGAAAATCCAACACTGTGTTCCCACCTGTGGTCTCACCAGTGGTGACCCTATATGAGATTCATAATAGGATTTATTACTTTATTCCCAACACAGAGACCTTGGCAACTTTTGAAAGAATAAAAAGACCCATGCTCTTTTTCTTGGCTCCAGTTTTCTTCACATCACACATGAGAGCATGTTGTTTCATAATTGAATCCAATTATAAGTCTATCAATTCAGTTGAACTGGTTCTCATGGAAATTAATGTTGCCATAAATTTCTATAAAGCTTTCTTCCAATGGTGTCAAAGTGTTTCTCTTGGAGAAATATAAAGATCATACACACCCAGTTTCCAGATAGAGAAATAATAGTGTTAACTTTCAATTCTATAATGAGTTTTGGTGAACAAAACACATTTATGTGCAAAATGAGAAGTCAATAAACTTTGAGTTCTTATTTGAGTTAAATTTGAGTACTTATTTGATCTTCAAAATAGATCTATACAGAAGTTCAGACAGGTATTATAAGCCCCTTTTTACAGATGAGGAAACTGAGAATGACACGTTTAAGAAGGCTGCACAGGATCGTTCAAATGAGAAATAGCAGAGTTGGAATTTGAAAGTGAAACCCAAGTCCACAGTGCTTGTTACCTCATCCATGTAACAAATATTGAGTACCAACTATATGTGTGTTTGGAGAAGCCAGTTCTTTTGTTTTGTTTTGTTTTTTTTTTTTTTCAAAAAGTCAGTCTTTTACTTTCTCATATTTGTTTGGAGAGCAGTTCCAAACATCAGGGAAATGACTGCCTTCCCTTCCCACTCCCCCACCTTCTCCCACCCATGCTGCCCCTTGGCAGTTATAGCATCCAATCCACAATTATCTAGAAGGAGATGATGCTAAAACTGTCACAGGGCTAAGAGGCGGTGGCTGTGCTAATTATTAGTGATGTTCACCAATTATTCTAGTTCTTCTTTCCCCCAGACACATGATAGAATTGCACTTCCTGGGGCCTCCCCTGGTGGCGCAGCAGTTGAGCGCTGGACTGCGAAGCTGCCCACAGCCTCTACAGTGCCAGTTCGATCCCTGGCCACCGGCGAGGGTCCCACATGGCGCACAGACCTCTCCTGTGGCCCGCTGCTCCCCTCAGCAGTGTACTTTGGTCCTTCTGCCTGTTCTGCTCCCCCCTCTGGCTCTAGTGAATTCTCTCGCCCTCCTGCGCTTCTGACTGTACCCAGTGCTTGAATGAATAAATAAATAAATCTTAAAAAAAAAAAAAAAGAATTGCACTTCCTTGATCTATCCTAGTGAGACCATGTAACCAGATATGAGCAGGAGGTTGCCATTTTGATGATCACACATGGTACCATCCAGATCACATCCCTGCAGGAGGCCATAGACCTCGCTCCATGAGTGTTCAGAGTAGCTATTCCCAAGGACTCAGAACTATTGACCGTACCTGGATAATGATTCCTTTTGCTTTATATTCCACCTGCAGGGCTTTGGAAAATGTGTGCATGAAAGCCTGGAGGAAGAAAGAAAAACATCTAAGGACCCAGAGCCTCTTTCTCCATCAGAGCCAATTTATTTTGAAGGGCACCACAGGAACCTACTGTTTTATCATAAAAGGCAGCACTCATTTTCATGGGAGTTAGGACTTCATTTCTTGGTCTAGGTGAAACTCATTTAAGCATCGGGAATATACATTTTGGGGCAACCATTGCATGTAGATCAACATGCCCAGGGAAGTGCATCTAGCCTGGAGCACCTCCTCCAAGGGTTTGCTTTTATGACAAGGATCTGGAGACACTGGGCTAAGCCTCCAAAATAGGAAGGGAACTGCATCTTCCTTTCAAGCAGGAAGTGAACAGTGTTCCCAACCAAGGAATTAAATGAGGACTGGATTCCTCTGGGGGCTGCACTTATCCAGCTGTGCTGCTGCAAGCTTCATCAATCCAGAGTCAACATCTTTTCTAATGTTCACCCAGTCACCCTGCAGGCTAACTCCGCCTGTATATAGAAGAGCATCTCCAGGCAAATCTGTCCGTCAACTTGCCAGATGACACAAAGGAAAATGTCAGTATGGGGAGGGGAAATGGCAAGAGGAAAACGAAGGAAACTTGGATAACCTGCTCCCACTCACCTTGGAAGCAGAATACAAGGAGTACAGAGGCCAGGGGAAGAGGGCTGTCCCAGAAGAAATATTCAAGATGAGCCCTTTCTGCCTAAAAGGCAAAGAAGCAAAAGTTTAATTGTGTTGCTGCCTGATCACAACTTGAGAAGGAAGAAAACAAAGGGGTCTTGTGAGTCCAGGGGAAACTCCATCCCCTCCAGGCTTCCAGAGCACTCAATGCTCTGCCTCCAAGAATTAGGAGTGGAATGTCCCCTCCTTCATGGAACAGGCCATCGTAAGCACAGCAACATCACTGTCCAGTCAGTTGGTGTCAGGGTGTGGAACTCTGCTACAACAAAGACTCCCCACCAAAATATTGAGTACCAGTTCAATTTAGAAAGACTCAGGAGAAAGGATGCTTCTCTCTTGAAGGGTACCACATGAGTTCAAGGTCCCTGCTGATTGGTAGAGTGACCCACAACAGGACAGGTATCATATGTATAATGCTGTCTTGGGTATTTGACATTCCATCATCCATTCATACAGGCACCACCACACAAGTCTCTAGGTCCTTACTTATCCTTTTGAAATTCAATATCCTTAATCCTTCTCAATTAGAAGGGTTCAATATGGAAAAACACAAGACACTGTACATTACAATGCAAGGCTAATCCCCTTCCTTCTCTAAGGAAGATAAAACTATCAACCATTTGCTTTTATGAATACCACCTGAGAAAGACCAGCTCCCCAGTGGGTGTTGTAACAGGGTAATAAAAACATGGAATAAATGGAGAGATTGACGGGGTGTCAAGTTTTACCACTAAATTGGAATATTCATTTTGACAGGAGCTGAATTTCATAATAACAAAGAGATGATCTTGGTCTTAAGCCAACTGGCAAAGTCTCTGTTATGTTCAACATGAGTTAAGTTTTTTATTTTTTAAATACACTGTGTGCTGAAACTGCTGTTCTCCAATATAGCTTGCATTTGACCTTCAAGTAGACTTACCTGTTTGCTAAGTTAGTCTGTCCCAAAGTTATGCGCCCCCCCCCCACCGTAAGTTACATGTCCTTTCATCATAGTTAACATTCTCAAAAGTAGCAGCAGCATGAACTCTATCCTACCAGTCCCATGTCAGCTGACTACCAGACCAGGGAGACCATGCTACTCCACCCTCTCAAAAAAACACCTTACCTTGACTCCATGCTTTTCAGAATTAGCTGTGTCATCTATAAGAGAAGGCCAAAGTTAAACCAAAATTAAAAGAACTAAGTAAAAATGGGGAGGAAGACTTGGGATGTGGGTGCTAGAGGAAGAGCCTAATCTTCTAGGCTCTTTGACAATCTGCTGACACCCATTGGAGGTAACTCTGGCAACATGAGTCTGGTTGAAACCCACTGGTTTCAGAGGCTTTTGGTTTCTTCCCCATAAAGCTAAAGTCTCTCTGGAAAATGAAAGCATTGAAAAATTAGAGATTGGCTTATGGTCATGGGGTCAGCCCTGGGGCACCCCATGTATACTTTGTTCTGGGTTACAGCAAAGAATAGGGTGATCACAATAAACCTCACCCATGACTTCCAATTGAGGGACCATCAGCAAACCTAACAAGTGTCCATAAACATTTCACATACAAGGTATGAGATGGAGAAGAATATCTTTTTAATTCAACACAAGCCACAGGAGCAGACTGCAGTGGACTGAGAAATAGCTCTGTAGACAGAACATATCTGTCCACTGGAATAACAATAGCACTGAGAACTCTGCTACTCCAAAATATCTTCCCTGTCAGTCCTGGAGTGGAAATATTCTATTGAAAGACATTTTAAACCATAGTTACAAGGCATTTATTTTAAGGATTAAGGAAGAGGAAAACTCCCATGGACTGAAATTTTCTCAACAGTACAATTGAGTCCTATCTTGGGAGGAGGTTTGAGATAAAGAGGATCCAAACAGGAGGGAGGGACAGAGAAATTTTTAAAAAACTGGGAATGGGGGCCTCCCTGGTGGTGCAAAGGGTTAAGACGCAACCTACGAAGCTGTCCACAGCCACTGCAGCACGAGTTCAATCCCTGGACAGGGAGCTACCCACATGGCGCAGCAGACCTCCCCTGTCTCACCCGCTGCTCCCCTCAGCAGTGTATTTCAGTCAGTCTGCCTGTTCTGTTCCTCACTCTGTCTCTGGTGGATCCTCTTACCCACCACACCTCTGGCCTGTACCCCAGTTCTTGTATGCATAAATAAATAAATCTTTAAAAAAAAACTGGGGATAGAGGACAAATTTTGCCTATTTATGTTGTCTGAGTCACTGCTATAAACTCTCAATCAACCCTTTCCCTCCCACTCCTCCTGTTTCATAAACCAGTCTCCTAATGTATGCTCAGAGACTTCCCATAATGTTTCCACTGCTCTGGAGCAGGAGTGAGGTGGCAAGGGGCTCTCCAGAGTCCACAGAACTGCTTCCTGAGACACTGAGTTTTGAGGGAGGCGAGAGAAGGCTGAGGACTCGATCATATCATCACCCTTTCTCTGATTCTCCCAATTTCATTGGAGAAGATTCGGGTACTACCAGCCCAGTAAGGGGTTAAACATTGTGAAGTTTAATCAATATAATAACATTAAAATATATGAAAGGGGCCTCCCCGGTGGCGCAGCGGTTGAGCGCTGGGTTGCGAAGCTGCCCGCGGCCTCTGCGGCGCCAGTTCGATCCCCGGCCGCTCCCCGGCCTCCGGGAGAGGGTCCCACATGGCGCGCAGACCTCTCCTGCCGCCCGCTGCTCCCCTCAGCAGTGTACTTCGGTCCTTCTGCCTGCTCTGCTCCCCGCTCTGGCTCTGGTGAATTCTCTCACCCTCCCGCACTTCTGACTGTACCCAGTGCATGTGTAAACAAAACAAACGAATAAAAAACATTCCTCTATTAAAAAAAAAAAGATAAAAAAAAAATAAATAAAAAAAAAAAATAAAATTTATGAAAGGTCAGTGGAGATTTAGGACCCAAAGGAAAAGGTATTTAAAGCACTCAGATGTTTTGGTACCACAAGTCACAGTTTTGTGCCAAAACTTCTCAATCACATTTGTGGATTGCTTATTTTTCAGAATTGTACTCACTGTTTGACTTATGTCTACTATGAAAGCTCTATAAAATGCAAAGACATGGCAATTTTTATATGAGTCTTTGTACTACAAGTATAAACTTAGTTCCCACCAAAGCAATAAAATAAAATGTGTCACCTAAAAAAAACCAAAAAAGGTATTATTGGAGCACTGTTGGACAACACCAACATTGGACATTCCTCAAAGTCTCCCAAGTGAATCACTAGGCTTATTGGGCAAATGATCCTAATTAGAGAGATAACATTGGACTCCAATGGTTCCTGTCTCCAAGTTCCTGGTATTTAGTCTCACATTCCACCTTCACTTTGCCCTCAAATTCATTCTCCCATCTCTGTCTTTGATAGAGAACTCTACCATTTCCAGATGGCTCCTTTTGGAACAATTAAGCAATGCTGGTCATGTTTCCAACCAGCAAGGCTAACAGGAGTGTGGCATACTTAGAAGCTAACCTATAATTTGTTTTCTTTGTTATTTAGCAATGTCAGTGTCTACCAATATTTTTTTTAAAAAAACTATAAAATCAAAACACTTATCTGCTAAAGGAATCAGGCAGTTGTCAAATATACTTGGAAAACCCTGTGACCAAAAAGAGCAAGACAGATACACAAAATGTGAAAGATTTTAGCAGTAAGACTGCAGACAGCAGTTGGACATATAAAACTTACAATTACATCAGTTGGGGGCTTTAAAAAGCCATTGATTGCTCAGCATAAAAATAATGTGTGTACCCAGTAAAACTGAGCAGGAAACTATAAAATACCAGTATGCTCACAGAAAAACAACCAAAGGCAAAAATAATTGTCCCCAGCCCAATTTAGCTACTGGGAAATAATATTGTTTGGCCTGCTCAGTATCCATCCTCCTTCCTTATGATGATAACAACTTATTTTCCTTGGGAAGCCAGTCTCCTCTTGTCAGTTTATGTTGTTAAGGGGTGAGACTGAGCTGTCCTCCAACCAACTCCATTAAAAACAGGGACCATACCAACCACTATGGAGAGCTGTGTGGAGATTTCTGGACCTACTAAACATAGAGCTTCCATATGATCCAGCAATTCCACTCCTAGGTATTTACCCAAAGGACACAGAAACATCAATTCCAAAGAGCACCTGCATCCCTATGTTTATAGCAGCACTGTTTACAATAGCTAAGCTTTGGAAACAGCCCAAATGCCCCAAAATAGATGACTGGATCAAGAAGATGTGGTACATATACACCATGGAATATTACTCAGCATTCAAAAAAGATAAACACATGCAATTTGCAGCAACATGGATGGCGCTGGAAGGAATCATGCTCAGCGAAATAAGCCAGAAAGAAAAAGAAAAATACCGGATGGTCTCACTCATAGCAGGAATCTAGAAAACTTAAATAAGGGACCAGGAAAATGAATAACTATAAGAAAGTGAAAATCAAAATCAACAAAAACTATGAACCAGAGACACTTTTTTGGGGGTGGGGGGTGGGAGGGGAGAGATTGGGGTCAGAATGGGGGGGTTGCAATTGTATGGGGAATATAAACATAAAATTTATTTTAAAAAAATATAAAACAAAATAAAAACAAAACAAAAACAAAACAGGGACCATATTTGATTCACAGCTGCAGCTTGCTGGATATTCCAGAGTAGTCACGAGGGCTTCCATACACAGTTGTGAATTGTGCTGGGTAAAGTGGACAGCTGTGAGGGTGAGGGTGGGCTGCAAACCCAGGGTTTACTGACAAGCCATTGAAAGGCTCTATGCATTCAAAGGAAAGGAGAATATTGTGGGAAGAGAAAAGCACCATCTACTCTCCAGGACACACAGTATCGGGCTTAAGCAGCACCTTTTTTGAATTGTCTGCCTGGAGAGGACTCCTTTATGTTACTCACACAAAGGTGCCGTATCAGCTTTATAGCGCTTACACTGTAATGCTCATGCAGTACACTCTAATCCAAGGCCTTCAGGGGGTTAAATAACTTGCCTAACACTGTCCAACTAACTAATAGCTGAGCTAGGATCAGAATATATATGAACTTGTACATCAATCCACAAATATTTTTATTGAACAACAAAAGTTCTAAAAAATCAAGCCATGTCCCTTGTCATTTTTCCAAACAAAGATTAAAATCAGAGGAAAGTATTAAATTTTTTTAAAGTTGCCTTGGAATCCCAATAAATTTTGCCATGATCAGGTCTAATATGTCTTGACATATACCAAAACTGAACACAAAAACAGAATTCAGATACTAGGGAGAATGAATCCATCACTATTTTCTTTATGCAAACCAAATGAGATAATTAAATGACCACTACATAGTCTCTCAATCAAGTGTAGTTCAATTTCAAAGAATTTTGCTTCTACAGGGAAGGAGACAATGTTGCCAAATCCCAACAATTACAGCATTTTAATGCATTTAGTACAGACATTGAGTCACATACCTTCACTACTGAGGTGATATTACAATGGATGAGGTTCTGCAACAAACAATTACAATCATGAATCAGTCAGAACATTTGAGAAATTCTCTTGAGTGATAAAGAACCATAAAGTGGGCAAAACTGCTTATCTGAGCACATCTCTTCACTCACTTAGTCCGCAAATTAGGCTGCTAGTTGATGTTCAGCAAATGTGTACTAGAACTGGGGAATGCCTGACATCTGCCCTATGAGTCTATCAGAATGTGATCTTGAAAGGAAGTCAACCAAAAGTTTCCTCAAAGAAGTAGAGAGGAACAGGGGCAAAGATTATCAAAGGGAGATAATTAATTTCCGACTGAAGGAGGAGAGCTTAGCATAAACGGGTCTAGGAGGCAATAACATAAAGAATAGCAAAGCAAATTGCTATATAATATAAGGTAGAGTTTCTGGGCTACAGAAAGCAGACAAAGAAATTTCTAGATTCATCCAAGACAGAAAAAGGGTTAGACAAAGAAAGAAGCACAAGCACAGACATAAATAGAAAAAGAGAAGCAAAAATGACACCTGTTTAATGGAGAGATAAGGACTTGTGCCACAAACAAGGAATTTGGAAAACAGGGACCAGGGAGGTTAGACGTGTGAACAAGAAAGGAGTTTGGCAAGGATTTGTAGTGACATCTGCACCATCTGGGGTTATATGTCAACGCAGTATTCAGGATTGAAGTAGGACCACAGGAATACTTGCGGGATCTGGGAATGGAAATGTGCTAGCCTGTTCAGAATCAATATACAATGCCATAGCTTTAAAGGCCAGGGCCTGAGAGCGCCTTCCAAGATTGCTAATGCATAATAAGTTCCCTCATGCCCAACAATGGCACCATGGGTCTGGATCAAGCTTGCTGAAATACCAGCCTCAAGAGTTTGTATCATCGACCCTCTCTTAATGAAAATTGAACAAATCATATTCTCCGGGAAGACAAAGAAAGCCAAAATTGGCCTTCTCCAACAGCTATAAATTTGTTAGGCAGAATTACCACTTTATAATGCAGAGCTCAGAGCCCTAAAGAATCAGACAGCGGGAAGGTAAGTTTCGATGTGCAGGGAAGGGGGAAATGTCCTCATCCTAGAGATGGCTGCGAAAACCAGTGATCTTGACTGTGTATCAGGTACTAATGTGAAAAGAAAGACAGCTTTCTGGACACCTGCTGGAATGCAAAATACTCCCATTACCCTGCCTTTCCCCTATATCCCTGGTAATTATCCAGTCAGAAGACCCAGGAGTTAGGTGAGAGGAACCCGTCCTTAGACAGCACAAGCCTACCTCAATGGCATCTGGTGTATTAAGGAAAAGGCTTGGGAGGAAATTCGGAAGCATTCCAACATTATTGACTGAGAGGAAGAGGAAAAACAAAATGTCAGAAGAGTCTACAGCAAATTTTATGAAAGTCTTAAAATTGATCATAGTTACGCCAGAATCTTCTCTTGGGAAGTACTCCAAGGAAACACATACAATGTATATATAAATGAAGCTGTTCATTGCAACGTGATCTGCTAGCAGTGAGGAAATTGGAAGGAAAAAAAAGTTGTCCAATAACAGGAAGCAAGTGAAACAAAGGACATGGCAGAATACACCACAGTCATTCGAAGCGATGGCTGTCTAGAAACTTAAAGACAAGGGAAACCATTTGTGATGTTTATCTTCTTTTTAATGTTTATTTTGAAAATATGGGTATATGTATTTACTAAAATGCTCTCAACTTACTGTGATTTTAAGTAACTTAGAATTCTTTAATGGGCTCATTATTTCCAGTTTTTCTGCAATAATGTTTTACATTTTGCTGCAAAAAATGCAAGATTTTTTTAAATTCATCAGGAAGCCTAGAAAACAAATCTTACTTCCATCCTTGTGTGATATAGTGTGTAGTGTATGTGATGACAAAATAGCTAGTCTATAAATCACACACTATTTCATAGATCAATCACAGCATTGTTTGTTTGCTAAGCTAATTCTTTTAACCCAATGTTTCTAAGAATCCCTCTTCCTGTCAATATCAGTTCAGGGAAGAAAATTAATTTTTTTAAAGATATATTTATTTATTTATACAAGCACTGGGTACAGTCAGAAGCGCGGGAGGGTGAGAGAATTCACCAGAGCCAGAGCAAGGAATAGAACAGGCAGACTGATGAAATACACTGCTGAAGGGAGCAGCGGGCGTGGCAGGAGAGGTCTGCGCACCATGTGGGACCCTCGCCGGCAGCCAGGGATCGAACTGGTACTGCAGAGGCTGCGGGCAGCCTCGCAGCCCAGCACTCAACTGCTGTGCCACCACAGGAGGCCCAAGAAAATTAATTTTTATATTAGAAAATGCAATTGGAACCACTGAAATGTATGTTTGATACATTCCAAAGTCATAGGCAGCATTACTCTAGCAATGCCCCTTGAAGATTTGAGCTTTAATATTACAGTTTAAAATACTGTCATGGTCATCTGTGCAAAAAAAAAAAAAAAAAGTAATAATGGTACAAAACACAACAAAGCAAAAACAGACAATTATGAACCAGAGACATACTGCAGGGAAGGAGGAGGGAGAGGGATCAGAGGGAGGGAGAGAGGAGCACAGGGGACTGTGGTGATGGTGCACGGGTGCTTTAGGGAAGGAAATTCTATGGGGACTCAATCTGAGGGGGTGGGAGGAACCAAATATTGTCTAAAATTTTTTTTTAAATGATAAATGTTAAAGTAAAAAATAAATAAATAAATAAATTTTTAAAAAAATAAATAAAATAAAGTACTGTCATGGGGGCCTCCCTGGTGGCTCAGTGGGTTGAGTGCAGTGCTGTAAAGCTATCCACAGCCTCTGCAGCATGGGTTCGATCCTGACAGGCCAGAGAGCTACCCACATGGCATGGCAGACCTCTCCTGTCTTGCCCGCTGCTCCCCTCAGCAGTGTATTTTGTCAGTCTGCCTGTTCTGTTCCCCACTCTGTCTCAGGTGAATCCTCTCACCCTCCCATGCATCTGGCTTGTACCCCAGTTCTTGTATAAATAAATAAATCTTTAAAAAAATAAAATAAAATACTGTCATGAGTTAAGCTTGTCACCATGAAATCATTGAGTGCTATTAAGATAATTATTACAAAAAGCTTTACATTTTGCAATTTACTTACCTAAAATTCCAATTTCTAAACCTTCAAGTTTTTCCTTAATATCCTCATAGATGTCATCTTTGGTGAAATCTGCTTGTATAACCTTCACACTACTCCCTGTTGTGCGCTCTGTGGTAGAGACAACAATTATTACTTCATAACAGGAATCCAAGCCCCTTTCCTGTTGCGATGCCCTTGATGTTCCTGTGCCATGTGAACAGATTTTTAAGAGAACAGCTGTATTACACCAATTAGAAATAAGAAACAGCCATGGGTGTGTCTAAAGATTTGTGAATGCTGGTTTGCTGGTTTGTTTCTAAGTGTTACTCTGGTGGTAAATATATGCACTTTAATGCCAGTGTTTCTCAAAGTGGGGTCCAGATCACAGCATCAGCATCTTGGGAAACTGGTTAGAAACACAGGGTCTTGGGCTCCACCCCAAGCCCCCTGAACTAGAAACTCTAGGATCTGCATTCATAAGTGCTCCACCCTGGTGTATGCTTGAGTTTGAGAGTCCTGGACTAAGGGGCTGTCAGAGCAAAGTCGGATGCTGCCTCTGCTTGGTGAATATCAGGTTCTCTCCACAAGGACGGCAACCCTATGTATTTGTCGAACACATTAATGTTCATAAGCATTTACCTACACAACAGATTCTTTTAATCCTCTCTGCAACTTTGTAAAGCAGGTATTATTCTTTCCCAGAGGAGAAAACTGAGGCACAGAGAAGCTAACTTGCTTGCCAAGGGCACCCCCACTGCTCCCTCCAAATCAGCGCTCTTTCCACTAGTCCCTGGGAATCAGCCTTGAGCTGCAGCTTACAGACAGACAGAAATGCAACAGGCAGATTTTACCAACTGCTGCATGGTTGGCTTTGGAATTAGACCCAATATATCTGGAGCAAATGATCTTGGGCATAGTTCAAGGTGGGGGTGATTTTAGAGTAAGGACACTATTTGCTTCACATTGCAAGGGAAATAATGAAGAACATCCTAATCCTGTTCAAAGTTACTTTTGCTATCCAGACAGAACAAAAGCATGATTTATTGATTCAAGGGCACTGAGCCCTGGCCTCCTCCTCAGCTCACACCTCCCACATCTGTCTCTTTTCCAGCATCTCCTCCAGGAACTCGGGACTGTCCCCCAGACCATTTCCCGTGGTCTTTATGAGGCTTCATAATTTAAGACTCATTCTTTTGCGTTAAGAAGTCTATTCATTACTAAATTAATAATTATCAAAATTAAATCCCCCCAAAGGGACATGATGATCATTATTTGCTAAGAACCTTTCAGAGTGGAGCATAATAATTAAAAAAAAAAAAAACCTTCTAGTATAAATGTTGCCTGCTGGGGCTGTACGGTGTAACTTTCATGCTACACATCCTGGGTCAAAATTTTCTTTTTTTTTTTGTCCTTGTTACTAAAGGTCAGCTTTGATTGTGATACAATCAAAGTTGGACATCTATTACTCTTGGCTAGCTAATAAGATTTTATTTTTTACATCATTGTTCATTTTTAAACAATATTTGCTTCCCCCCACCCCCTCAGGTGTAGTCCCCATAAAATTTCCTTCACCAATGCACCCGTGCACCATCACCTCAGTCCCCTGTGCTCCTCCCTCCCTCCCTCTGACCTCTCTCCCTCCTCCCCTGCAGGATGTCTCTTGGTTTATAATTGTCTGTTTTTGCTTTGTTGTGTTTTGTATTGTTATTATTTTTTTACACTGATGTCTTATTTGGTTCCCCTATATTCCTGTTATAAGTGAAACCATCCGATATTTTTCTTTTTCCTTCTGGCTTATCACTGAGCATAATTCCTTCTCACTCCATCCACGTTTATCTTCTTTTTAAACTGACGACCAGCCGAGCGCGTCATCCCTCACCCACCTGGAAGGAGCAAAGCACAAACAGGGAAAGACATGAAGTCCCAAACACAAATTCTACTTTTGAAGGGAGTGCTAAAAGCAACCAGAGCATTGGGGCCTCTGGATGAGGGCACTAATTCTAGACATGAAAGCAGCAGACCAAAGCAGAAATTGGACCTCTCTGTGTGTGAGTCTGTTCCTGCTTCACCTAACCCAGAGGATCACTGGTGAGCTGGAGCCCACTTAGCGCTCGGAACTTAACTTTTAAACTGGGCTTCCTGCAGGACGGGTGGCCCCAGCTCCAGAAAGCACTAGGTGGCAGTGACAGCTGCTTTCACGGGCAGGACAGGAACAGACTTGGCTGGCGGGCACCACACACATCTCCCTTTCTCTTTGGGGTTGCTCACCTATCTCTGCAGCAACAGCCTGTAGTTTGTCCAGCGTTCGGCTGATGAGCACAACGTTGAGTCCTTGTCTCGCTAACTGGGTGGGAAGTGGGAAAAACAAAAAAGACAAAATGGTAGGCAGACATGGAAGCCTTGCTTTAAAGGTGAATTGCAACATATGAGGTTGCAGGAACTATGCTTGTTTCTCTTGAGTTTATTTTTTTATTTTCCACTGTTTTATTTCATATATATATATATATATAGAGAGAGAGAGAGAGAGACACACACATACACACACACACATATTTATTACATCATCCTTTATTTTTGTACAATGTATGATTTCCCATGAAATTCCCGCTACCAATTATTTCTCTTGAGTTTAAAGGTACAGAAAGTGATGTTTCTGTTATGATCCAAACCACCAGAGTGGGCCAGGCTAAATGATCTATATTAATACTAGTTTATTTGTATATGTTTATCATGTGTCAGGTCCATAAGCTGAATGCCCACTTATCTGAAATGCCTGGGGTCAGATGTATTTTGGAATTCAGAATTTGAGGCTTTGGATATTTCCTTGTCTTTACATGTATACATAAGTACATACAGAGATAAAAGTTTGTTTGGTGGGTTTTCTTTCTTTCCACCCTCATTGCAAGTATTGTCTTTTTACCTTCATTGTATCTTATCTCTAAGAATCATATCTATTTCCACATCTGTCCATGTAGAACCACTTTATTCTTTTATATTGCTTCATAGTTTTCTATAGTTCACATTTGCATGAGCAGCTGTTTCCAAATTTTCCACCTACCAATATTTCCACAATGAAGAGCCTTGTGTATAGAACTCTTTGCATATACAAGTGTGTGAACTCCTATAGTACATAGAAAAAAGTGGAATTGTTGTCAAAGAGTACATGCTTTTAAAATTTTAATAGCATTGGCAAAATATCTTAAAAGACTGTACCACTAAAATACAGTTATAACTATTTCCTCACACTCTGGTCAGTATTTGATATTAGCAAGCTTTTTCAATTTTTCTCAATTTAGTGATTAAGAGATTACATCTCCATATTGCTTTAATTTGTGTTTTTCAAATATCAATGGGATTCAGTATCTTTTTGTATATTTGTGAATTACCAGGACATATCCTTCATCCATTCTTCTACGGGGTTATTTATCATCTTACAAATTCATATGATTTTCAATTTCTATATATTCTGGGTGTTAATTAGTTGCCCACTATATGTGTGTCAAGTATTTTCTCCTTTGCTTTTGGTGTTTGCCATATATTACATATGTTATCAAGTTTGTGAACATTTCCATTATGGTTTTGAAAAATTTCCTTTATGATTTTTTCAAGCTCCAGGATGATAAGCACATTTTCCTATAACCCTTTGTAGTGTGTTTATTTTCTTACTTATTTTTGAGAATAATGTGTTTAAATCATCCAGCATTCTCCTCTACAGAGTATAAAAGATTAATCCCCAGCAATTTTGTAATGTCATCACCTAAACATTAAAACCTAACAAAGAACAGTACAAAAAAAATGAAATTGCATGTCACTCTCTTATGCAATTATACATGAAAAAATCCAAAAAGAAATTATTAGCAACCAAATTAAGGAATTAAAATAGAAAGACACTAATGTAGATTATCTATCACAATCTGTTTAGTTATTCTCCCATGAATGCAAATTGTGTTTCAATTTGAAAATCAATGATTTTGTTTTTGTAAAAAAATCATTTATGCTTAGTAGAATTTACCAAAAAAATCATCTGCTAATAGATGTTCCTTAAGTGGGTTATTAATATGGGTTATTAATACAGATTTAATGTCTATTTATTTTAAATGTTTATTTTGCTTTTCTCTTTCTCCTGTCAGTTTTGGTAAACTGTGTTTATCCAGAAAGATGTCAGTTTCATTTACATTTTCAAAATTATTGGCATGAAGTTACTCAAAAGGTCCTCTCTGCAAGATTTGTGATGTTCCCATTTAATTATAGACCCTTGATATTTTTTTCTTACTGCTATCCATTTTTTTAAATAAAGATCTTTCGCTTTTGGTGGTGCTTTCAAAAAAATAAATAAATAAATAAATAAAAATAAATAAATCATCCAGCATTATATTTTTTATACTGGATGACTGGTTGTCTCAAGAACATTTTTCTATATTCCATTCTTTCCTGATTTGAAATGTTAACTTAGTCATATGTCAAATCTAATGGACCCATGGATCTGTTTCTGATCTCTCTGTATTATTTCATTAACCTGTTTGTCATCTTCTGTAACAGTGCCACTCCACAATCTTATAGTAGATTTTGATATCCTCAGTCTGATAGAGGAAGTCCCTACCATATATATTCTCTTTCAAAATCTTTTTGCTTCATCTTCTTATTTTAACTATCCAAATAAATGATAAAACTGTCCACTTGAATATTATACTGAAATTAGATATTTGAGGGGAAGTTACATCTTGAGGCAATCTGTTGTTTTATCCATAAATATGAGATTTATTTATTCAGATCTCATGTGTTGAAGAATTTTTTTCATATAAATCTTGGGCATTTATTGTTAATTTACATTAGTTAAGATAATATTCGCTGCTATAATAAATAACTCTAAAACTTTGGTGACTTAACACAATGAAGTATAGGGGGTGGTTTGTTTCTTTCATGTGTTTGTTGTTGTTGTTTTTCTTAAATAATAGACTCTATTCCATATATCAGTTCAAGGCCCATGGCTGAGAAAAACTTTTCCATCTTCAGCACAGGGTTTCTAAGATTGCCCAACAAGTGTAAGGATTGAAAGCGAGTAGAAGATACATCCCATTCATAATCACTTTGACCCTGAAGTGACACGCATCATTTCTGTTCCATTTCATTTGTAAAATTAGTCATGCTGTCCCACCTAAATGTAAGTAAGTCTGCAAAATGCCCTGGCTGAGCAATCATTTATCAGCTATATCTCTATGCCATGGAAAAAAGATTAAGGGGTCTGGGTAGATGCTTAACTATACAGAAAGAAGAAATTCTAAAATTAAATACCTAGGTTCAGTTCCTGCCTAAGAACTGATAATGTGATTCTTGAGCAATGGATTCCTCACTCATATAAAAAAATATACAATGTGATAAAGAAAGTGACAATTAAGATAAATTTATGCAGATTTCTTGAGTTCTACCTTCTGCCCAGCTGTGACCCCTAGCCCCAAGGGCAGGTGAGGGAGGACCAGCTCCTGCCCTTACTACAAGACAAAAGACAGGGTGTCACCCCCTCTTATTTCATGTTCTGTATACACTATGGTTTCTGATTTCTTATTTCTATTTTTTGTCTGAATTGGTTAATACAACATAGGCACTTCTGCGTGACCCTGAGAGCTCAACAGTTTAACATAACAGCAGTTTATTTCTTACTCACAATGCTTGAACTGTAGACCCAGCTTTGAACAGGCCTCAAGAATACTGTGATATTCTGTTTCTTAAGTTGGGTGATAAGGGACACAGTACTCATTTTATTATTTTTTTTGAAATCACACTTTTTCATTATATATATATACTCTTATTGACATATTTGTTTCTCTCTCTCTCTCTCTCTCTCTCTCTCTCTCTCTCTCTCTCTCTGTCACACACACACACACACACACACACACACAGAGTCATGGTGGAACACTACAATGAACCCAGGATAGTCAAAGTCAAGATCAGAGATTATAGGATTGAAGTCAAGCTGCATGAGAACAAAGCAAGGAATCCAGGGGAACATAAAAATAATTAAAAGCTGCTGTTTTCATTTAAGGCAAGATGAAAGGGGATAAGTTGAGAGTGCAGCTGGAGCAATTTAAACTGAAGTAATTTCAACATGAAGAAGAAGAATTTCCTTGCTGAAACAGCATAAGAAACTATCATATATTGTCAAACAAGCATGTGATGATATTCAAGAAAAGGGCAAGGCACTATTTTTCTTGGTTTGGAATGAGGCAGAGCTAGTAAAGTGATTTTAATGCAAGGGCCAAATCTGTGCCATTACCATAATTTTCAGGAGGACTGTGCTGAGAAGAATTTGGATCACTCTTGTCTGCTACACCAGAGGTGGAAGGAGTGTCTGCATCCTTGACACCCAGATGTGGGAGGCTGCGCTAGAATGGCCCAGATATGGAAGAATGAAACCAGCAATCTTCAGCAAAGTGCATTGCTTCTAGCATTCTCTGAGCATAAACAGCCCAGATGCTCACATATGTCAAGACACAAAGTAAAATTCATAACATTTGAGTATATAGAGATATATATTAAATATATATTTAATGTAAATGTTAAATTTTATAATAATATGGGAGAGGTCAAAATTGGTTCAGGTACACAGAGAACAATTTTGCCAAGGATCCAATATTTAAATGCACTTACACATTGAGTCAGCAATCTTACTGGTAGGGATGCTTACTTGAATGTATATAAGTTCAAAAGTATGTCTTGAGGGCCTCCCCTGGTGGCACAGGTGGTTGAGCGCAGCGCTGTGAAGCTGTCTGCAGCCTCTGCAGCACTGGTTTGATCCAGACCGGCCCACGAGGGTCCCACATGTGTGGCAGACCTCTCCTGTCTCTCCCGCTGCTCCCCTCAGCAGTGTTTTTCGTCAGTCTGCCTGTTCTGTTCCCCCCTCTTTCTCTGGTGAATCCTTTCACCCTCCCACACATCTGGCCTGTACCCCCGTTCTTGTATAAATAAATAAATCTTTAAAAAAAAAAGTATGTCTTGAAACGTTATCCATAAACACAAAAATGGAAATCAACCTACGGCCCACCCCTACAAGGGTGATCAAAGGAACATGGTCCATCCCTGAGATGGAGTGCCCCAGAACATTAAAAATGAATGCCAGCCATCTTGCCATTTCTGTGTCAACATCTCCGTACTGTATTATTAATTGAATAAGGCAAAGTTTAGAATAGGGTTTATGGTGTGTACTGTACACACCTCATTTGTGCTTAAGTGGGAAAAAATCTAAACATAAATTCAATAAATTCTGATGGACAGCTAATGGCCACTAACACCTCTTGCCCCTTCCTCCTGGGCACAGGGCTACACCACATTCCTGAGTTTCCCTGAACT